GCTCGTTTAATTTTTATTTTGGTTTTAAATATAAGACCCCAATCCACTCTATTTTTTATAAGTATTCATTTTTTTAAGATAGTTTTTATAATAATAGTTCTAACTAATATACTTGATTAACGAGGATATTTGAAAAAAGACAATATTTATTTATTATAAATAACTAACTTATTTATTAGAGATAACTAACTTAAATAGTTTCCTTAATCTACTCAAATTAGTCAACTAGCTCTTATATTAAAGATCGAAGGTAGTATAATATAATTTCTTGTAAACTTTATTTTACAAGCTCAAGTTCAGATTAAAATAAAAAAATAAAATAAAATTCATGTATCCTCTAAACTTCTTCAATTCATCATCATCTAGGAATGTCTAATCCTTCCTTGTTTTGTAAAATCTTAATTGTTGCGTAACAGCTTCAAAACAGGCTGATATTATGATCAATCCATCGAGTGAATCTGACATTTCAACCTGAAACCAACTCAGTTTTCAGCTCACTCACACCAATATTCAACAAACCCAGCATCAGTATCCATCACAGCATGCATATTCTAGCCAAGTACAATACATATTCTTTTATTCGCCAAAAAAGAAAAAAAAAAAAAAAAACTCATCAGGAACTTGCTTGTACATGTCAAACAGATAAAAAAAGAGAACTAGAAGATATTAATCACTGGCTCAACAGTCCTACCAAGCAGAGCATTCCTTCAGAATTTCTTGAGCATCCACATAACAGTGAGAGCTTAAAAGTTGAGTCTATTCCAGTAAAGAAGCCAAGAATAGAATTTCTTTTTAACTGGTAAAGAAAGTTTAATTGGGACGTGCAATTAATTGTCTTCAACAATCTGGAGCCATGAACAATTCATAGGGATTGAGGTAGGTCATACAAACTAAAATAATGACTTCAGAGGCAACAAAACTTTCAACATCATATTTAACTGTCTAACGCAGGATGTAAGGTCTAAATAAAACAGTATATTATTAAGTTTGTACTCGGAAACCAAGTGCTTAAAATTACATTTGTAAACAGCTTTATTTCAACCAGAGACAACGCTACTTAACTTTTATGCATCATATAGGCGAGCGCCAAATAAAGCAGTGAAATATCAAAATCATTGGACAACCTTATACTAACCTAGTGTATTTGCTATCCACTTGACTCATGACCAAAATGGGGGATAAAAATAAGGGAGAAAGTACGAAGGAAGCATAAACCAGAGAAACAACAAAAAGTCCTAGAATCTGATCTGATATTTTCGATCTGAAAAATTCCCAGTGTTCCAAAGTGGGAGGGACGTGTAAGTTTACCTGAGGTGCTAAGCCACTGTTGCCCTTCATCGCTCATGAATTGATAAAATTAGCAGGACAGAAGAAGCCGCAAAAGCTTAACAGAACTTTCATCAATTGGAATTATGATTCCAACAAGATATTTAACGACAAAATGCAACGTTCTATGGATGATCAGAAAAAGAATTTATATTTCAAATTTTCTCATTGGCTTGGACTGCGAGACGATTTTTCCTTGTATAACCTTGCGGTCAAATCAGAAACAAGAGCATACTTATTGTTCTCATAGCACGCTGCCTTAAAGGCGGCTAATGTTACTCTATTGACATGGGGATCCATGTCTAGTAACTTGTGAAAGAATATGGCTGCCATGCCTACTTTTCTCTCACTACTTAGTTTCCTGATCAATGTATTAGCCGTTCGAATCCAGAGTTTTCTTTCCAGCCTTTCGAGGATTACCATAGCAGAGCCACAGTCATCTGTCTTGCAATACTCATAAGCCAGAGTGACCCGAGTAACTTCACATGGGATAAGCCCTTTCTGTATCATGGTGTCATACAAAACACGAGCTTCGTCCAACTTTGACTCTTTGCAAAGGCCACTTATAAGAGCACCGTAGGTAATACTATCTGGAGTACAACCATGGTCACTCATCCTATGAAAAAACTTCATAGCCACGCTTAAATTCCCTTCCCGACAATACCCACATATCATGGACGTATAAGTTTCCTTTGATGGAACTAGTCCACCTCTTACAGCTTCGTTGAAAAACATCTCACTTTCCTTCATTCTCTTTTGCCTACAGAAGGATGAAATTAAAGTGGTGTATGAATAAATATCAGCTTGAATGCCACTCTTCACCATCTTATTGAACAACACCAAAGCCTGATTAATATCTGCCTGTTTGCAATGTTGAGTTATGAGAATAGTATAGGTGACTTTATCAGCTTTCAATCCGTGACGAAAACCATTCTTGAGCAATTTGTAAGCCTCTTGTACCCTTCCCTTCTTGCAAAGGCCATCAACAATAGCATTATATGTACATATGTTGGGGATAAAACCCTCGTTGCTCATTATATTCATCAATTCATATGCTCTATCGAAATTACCTTCTTTGCAGTGTCCATCAATAAGTGTTGAATATGTGTTTGTGTTGGGAACTAATCCCTGTTCCTTCATTCTGTGAAGCAGCATCTCTGCCCGGTTCAATTTTCCATCTCTGCAATACCCACTTATCATTGCTGTATAAGTAAGGACATTTGGTTTGTGATTTTCACTCCGAACAAGCTTAAGAAAGAGTCTGAATGCTTTCTCAGTCCACCCTTTCTTACAAAGACCATCAATCAACGCTGTATGTGTATACACATTGGGCTTCCAACCTTTATGAACCATCTCCTCCAACATTTCAAATGCTTGCTTGACGCTTCCCCTTTTACATAAACCTTCGATCATCGATGTGAAATTAATCAAATTTGGCTTCAAACCCATAACACTTAGTTTATGAAAATACCAAGATGCTCTATTTGTGAAACCCTTGTCACAGAAGGTTCTGATTACTAATGTAAATGTTGTATTATCAATCACAAAGGCCTTCTCAAGCATGGCACTTAACCAACTATCAGCTTCAAAAATATTACCTATTTTACAATATGCAATGACCATCAACTTATAGCTTGCAGAATCTAGGCGAACCCCTCTCACACACATTTCTTCAAGCACTTGTTCTGCATATTCAACCAACCCCATCTCGCCAGTAACCTTTAAAATCCAATTCAACGTTTGAGTACTGGGAATCAAGCCCTGATTATGCATTTCAATCATCATATCTACAGCCTCCTTCAACTTCCCAATCTCGGCAAAAATCTTCACCATAGACCGCAACACTTCATGGGCTTTCTCGAAATTTCTATTCCCAATCAACGACATTGAACAAACGATATAGAGTCGCATAAAATGCCGAAACTTTGGAAATCTAATTGCCCAATTCAAGAAACTCAATGCTACCATTGATCCGGCTTCACTTGCAAGTGAAGCAACCGCCGTAACGGCTTGCTCGTGAGTCAAGGAATCCACATCCACGTTGAGATGAAGACTTAGATGCGACCCTCTCATGTGAGCTTGCTGATAGTAAGAATCACACACTAATGAGCACACCATTTTCACAGTTGATTGAGAAGCAGGATGAGATGTTGGTTGAGGCGAAGACGACGATGTAGTATAAGTAGACGGGTGGTATTGTCTGCGTAAAATAGCAGTGGCCTTGCAAGTGCACAAGAGTTTCTGATGAACGCCATGATTTCTGAGGATCAGAACGGAAAGCATGAAAATTTGATTAATGTTCGATGCGTTGTAACTATGGCATCTCAGGGAACCATATCAGAGAAAAAACGCCCCCAGTCTGTTCAAAATCGAATATGTCTGCCGCCCCCCGCCGGGGTTCCGATTTCCGAGCTACAGTTGAGGATTTATTTTCATAAAATATAAATGTGTGTGTATATATATATAATACCGTAAATTAAATTAAGAAAACATGTGAAAATTAATCCCAAATACTGTCGATATAAGCGAGATCCCTTACATAGTTGAATACAATATTTTGTTGACTTAATTAATCGTGTATTTTAATTCATTGTCGTATTTAATTCCGGTCAATTCATCCAAACGTCCGGTCCCCAAAAAAAAAAAAAAATCCAAATGACAAAATCATTCTCCGGGTACAACTTAGGTTCTGTTTGGATAGCACCCCAAACCATGGTTTGGGAAAAATGCTACCCAAACAGCCTCTCCAAAAACCAAAACCATGGTTTTGGAAAAAGCAAAATTTTTTTGCTTTTGGAGAAAAAAGGGAGAGTGTGAGGGCCTATATGATATGTATCTTGTTATATTTTTTTATAAACATATTTTTTTATAAATATATTTAATCTTATATTTTATAAATATACATAGACATTAATTATTTATTAATTATATTATCTTATGTATTATTAATTATGTTGGTAAAAAACATATTATTAACAATTTTATTTCTTCAAATTAAAATATATCATAAAATTTATTTTTTCTGTAATTATCATATTAACTTATGTCTTTTTTTAGTAATTTGGTAATATAAAAAGTGCTTCTGATAACAACTATCCAAACACTCACTTCTCAGAATCACTTTTTTACAAAATCTATTCTTCATAGAATTTATTTTTTCTAGAATCTATTCTCCAGAATCACTTTTCCAAACCACAGTTTGGTTTCATCCAAACACACCCTTAGTACTGTTCTGTTGACTTTAATTAACTGTCTCCTTTTACCTTTTAATTTGCTGTGGATAAACCTCTAATTGACATAATGATTCTTCAAGTAAATAATTGATACAATATTCAATTTATTTCAATATTATATAACCTTTCAAGCCTCTTTCTCAAACTTTGAAACCATCATTTCAGATTCTTGATAGTACATCCGATGTATTTCGAATACTTCCAAGAGGTATAAGATTCATCAAGTCAGATCAGTGAATCAGGCTGCACAAACACTAGTTATAAAACCAAATGAGTAGAGATAAACAAACAATTGAGCTGCACAAACGGTTTGAGATGTTATGTGATATTTTTGGCATAGGGACACATTAACAATTTCAAGGATTACACAACATTCTTTTGAACTGAGGGAGGCCAAGACAATCTCCTGTGGCTTGAACCATTATCTTGAGGGATCTCACCTGCTTGGCTCTCTTCTCCATCTGCTGCTCCCTGCTGACCCAGTTCTTGCCTCCTCGGGTTTCTGATAGCCAAGTCATCGAAACTTGATTCGTTTTTCCATTGTGGCGGAGTCACGCAATCAGAAACTCCTGGAAGTCTTTGCGAGGGATCTCCGGCAGGAGTCCTTGGCCCGAGGTATCAGAATAACCAACTCTCAGATTTTGAAGAGTTGCAAACGATTCTCTCATTGCCGACATGGCTTCAAAGAACCGAGTGCAAGATGCCAAAGCCACTGGGATTGGTCGAAGCATTTCCTAACAAAAGAACATTGGAATTTAACAAGGTAGACTGTAAATGAAACAAAGAGGTAGGGCCTTCAAGGACTAAAGAATGAACAAGCCACAAATGGTGATACACAGTTAACATCAGCTAGCAATTATTTATTTAGCAGAAAAGATCAGCCTTAGAAAGGTTGAGATGATTGCTTTGCTTCAATGGAATTAGATCGATTCCAGAGCACACAGAATTCTTCCAACAAGAGATCATTTCTGATCATGCTTACTTCAGAATTTGAGGGGGTCAAAACCAGACAATAAAAATAGGTTGAATACAAGGATGCGATTCAATATAACGCTCGGAGTGAAGAGACATCAGGGGAAAACAGTGTGTACTACAATCATTTATATTAGACAAAATAACCTAAATTGACTGAGTATATATTTGATTGTCCTTTAAATTTAAAATTTTCATTTTTATCATTTTATTCTTCAAATATGTAAACATTTTACAGTTCCATTAATAGCAATTGAACATTGAACATTGAACATTCGCCAATCAGATTCTAAAGCAATAACCTCTGGATTGAGACCCATAGTGAATCTCAACTTTCCAAAATTCTTACTCTGATCCCTTTTATAGACAACTTTTAAAAGGTTTTAGTGTTTCTATTAATAAGACATTTTTAAAAATCTAGACAGTAATTATCACGCTCTTTAAAGAACTGCACCTGAAAAAAGGTGCGTTTACTTAATTAAGAGAGTGTGTGTAAGAGAGAGAAGAGAATTTAATGAAGTGTATTTGTATAAAATAAAGTAATTTTAAAAACATCAATTAGTTTTCTTGGTTTGTATAAAATAGGTAAAGTTGTCTTGTGAAAAGGAACAGAGGAAGTAAAAAACATAATAAAGGATGACAGCCAACATGAACTAACACTGCAACGATGACAGCCACTGCTTGTGATGCAAATAGTATCAAAACATGAATAGTCATTATATCTACAAAATCAATTAATCTGAATTTGTCAAAATTAAAGTACAACTGCACAAACATACCCCCCAGACAGAAGGAGGTTCCTTGAAATTCTGACTCCAATGGAAATCTGCCACTGATGCGGTCAAGGCACCATAATCACTAGCTGCCTTCATCAGTAGTTCAGAGAATTGTTTCTGCATAAGTGGAAATATTTGACTTAGCATTAGAATTTGGCATTCCTAAATACTTTGAAAATCACACTCAATAATACTTGACAAACATTTAAAGATAATTTCCACCGATGTTTGAAAATAAACCAATCAAACCAAATAGAATCAACCTAGTATCAGACACTTTTTCCCATAATTCCAGGATATACAAATTTACAATCTTTATTTTCATTCATATTCAAGACAGGTACGCTTCACAAAGAGCATTTTTATATGTTATGCTTTCGTAAAGGAATGCATTAATACATTTCAGCTAAAACTAACTAGCTTGAACTTAACCAATCTGGTCTTCAATGATTGTTCAGCCAAGTCACTTCAAACAAAACAAATTATTTTGGGTTTTTTCAAAGCAATCATTGGCTTGATCCAGTTTGATTTCATTTAGGTGCAAAAGAAGGCCAGCTAGAAGTTAAAGAATTGAACAACAATCCCACAATATGGGCTTCAAAGCAAAGAGCCCATCAACCAACATCACTACTTCCATACTAGTGCTATAATCCTTAGTTGTCTGAATCTATACTGCTTATGACTCCGCAAGTAGCACAGAGAGCTTTCACTAGACTCAAGCCAATTTGACAAATAAACTATTCAATTTCCCTAGTAGAACTCAAGACCAACTGCATAAAAAATCAGTAACTTCATACATTTAAATACCATTAAGAATGGACAATCTTCATAAAATATAAGATCAAGCTAGAGGAAAAACTAGCCTTTGCACCCCTGGGCAACAAGCTAAAGGAAAAAGAGCTTCATGCACAGGATTGTCCCTTTTACCCTCCATTAACTTAGAATGACTGAGATATAGACATATCAGAGTCTACAATCATGTTGCATCCACTTCTGAATTTAATGAATTCCCCGTTAGGATTTTGCAATGCTGCTTTTATCAACATTTATCATCCAAGTAATAACAATAACCACACTACAGGCTGCTTCCTAGAAAAAGCAGAAGCTAAACACCAGATTTCAAGTTTGAACAAAGGGAACAATAAAAATTGTATATTCACTAACCTGATATTCTGCTTCTACAGGAATGCAATCAAGTGAATAAGGTTGCTGTAGGCGAGCTATAATGCGATCCTGCCAATTTTTAAGTAATTACGGCAGATTAGATAATTTTCTAATCTTTCATGCACACCCAAAAAAAAAAAGAAGTTAATCTTCAAATGTCAGCCCCCCCCGGGGGGGGTGGGTTTTGTGGGGGGGGGAGCTCTAGAGGAAGTGTACAAAGTTAGGAAGGAATTTGTGCCATTCTATTCTTAGTAGTTAGCTTATGATTTAATCACTTATCAATCACCATCCCTCAAACAGAATATTAAACTAACAACAAACCATGTCTTACTAGGCGAGGTTAACTACATAAATCGCACAATGCTATTGTGCTCTATCAATAGCCAATAAATTGAATATAGCAACATACTGAACTTATCAGTAGCAATTGAATACACTGACATTTGAAAAAACTAATCAATTTGAAGACACAAGATATTCATAAATAACTTTTTGATATATTTTGTCATCCAGCAAAAAGACCAATGCATGTCTCCACTTTTCTTTTGCTTTTTTTTTTCTTCCTTTTTTTTTTAATTCTTTTTGCAGAAGCATTAACTCATAGATGGAGCACAATGGCATCATGCGATCCATGTAACTGACCTCACCTAATGAGATAAGACTTCTTGTTGTTGTTGTAGAAGTATCAGTTCAAATTTTGAAACTTGATTAAGACAAGACCATTAGTATGGAGCTTTTGTTCAAGTGCTTATGCATGGGCAATGGCAGCAAAATGAACAAAGCAAATTACCTTATTTTGAATAACGTCTTTCAGTATAGTTGTAATCCTTGCTAATGTCTCGATCTTCTTTTCCATTTCACTCACATGGGTCAAATGTGCAACATTTTTATCATCCTAGAAATTTTCAAAGTCACAAGATCAAAGCAAATTGAACACAGGTTAGTAAGTTTTCCATTCATTATGTAAGAATGAATTCTTCAGTTTTTCTATTTAATAGAAAGACCAGATTTGTGGTCACTGTTCAGTGGATCTTTGTCTAAAATCTAACCTTGCGACCCTGAAGTTCCACTTGCAAATCAGCTATTTTTCTTTGTACAGTAGTTAGTTCTCTCAGAACCCTGATTAAGTCTTCACCCTTTTCGCCTGTAGTAGAGGATGAATTATGAAGTTCTTCCTAAAGAAAGAAGAGAACGACAAGATCAGCCTGGTGAAAAATTTGATCCATTCACACTACAAAACGTAAAAATGTTATTGATAGATTTGGTCCGAAACAACAATCAGTAGATAGCAGCACCCAGAAAACTTAAAGATCACTTATATGGAAAGTTTAATCAAAATGTAAACAAGTTGCTCATAGATTTGGAAATTTTACCAGGTGATAGATTTTAAGTTGGTTTTGTCTACGTCATTGCATCATTTATTTTTTGAACTAACAGATCAAACTAGTTTCATTCCTGTGCCAATGTTGCATACAAGGTGCCGCACATATATAATACCCATGCTTGATAATTCACTTAAAAACCTGTAGTATGCTTGGATGGGAGACAGAGTAGGCAAAGAGAAGATTTCTTTGAAAACTCATGTATGGTAATGTTTTATAAGGAGGAGGAGAATGGAGGATTTTCAACTAAACTTCCAAAATGCACCAAAGTCTTCCCTCATCTATCATCATAGGTTCCCCCAAGCTGAAGAATTTGGGACAATAAAGTCTTCCCAAACTACATTAATTGTTCCTTCCTCTCCCTTCTCTAACCTTTTTCTTTGGATTCGTTTCGTTCCCTTCTCCTCCCATCTCCCAAACGCACCCGAGCGTTTCATTTGACTTCTTCTATGGCAGAAATGATCTGGATTCTTCTTTGCCAACCAATTGCCGATTGAACTGAGCTTTAGGCTTAAAAATGACTCTCAAAGTTGAACCAAGGAGAAAGGAAGGTTGGGAATTTAGTGAGCTCTAAATACCCATATCTCCACAGTATCCAAACCTTGCCCACTGGGTCATTTGTGATTACACATTCATAGAACAGACCATTTGTTTTCACGTGGTCTGAAAGCAGCTGTTAAATTAAATATCTGTTTTATTTATTGGGTAATATAAAAATGCAGTACAAAGTCTTGTTCAACGAAACACAGAGACGTAAAATCAACTCAAACAATAACATGTAAGTTTCGAACAAAGACATTATCATGTACACTATTCAAACAGCGTCAATTCTATCACAAATCCCAGGTTCTAGTACCTCCATCTAATTCAGCTCAAATCTCATCTTCGATTGTCACTACTGGGTATTTCAAAGTATGTTTAATTGTGGCAACTACGAAATGCCACAAAAAGGAAAATTGAAATCATTCTGAAGTATAAAAAGCAAAATTACTGAAATCAGCGTGATTTTACCAACCAGAGGTAGAAAAAGTACCTGGGAAGGAGGAGAGGAGACAGAGAAGCCAAGATCGGAGGCAATAGAAAGAGCGTCTGACATACCCCCAATGCGTCTGAGAGGCTTCCTACCAACCCAAGTGGAGTCACCCCCCATCGACATTTTGAAATACAAACACCGGAAGAGGAAAAAGAGTGCACTGTCTCTGAATGAGCACAAATTGAACCGAAGGAGAAATTGGGCTTCGTTGAAGAGGAGGGGCGGAAGAAAATTTGAATGGGAAGAAAGAAACTTGGCTTTGCTTCAGCCGAATGCTTCACTTCAATGACCAAAGTGGAAACTTGGGAAATGCTAAAGGACACGGGGTGAAGAAAAGGCCTCCTGTGGGTCAAAACTCAATTTCGAAGTGCCATTTGGGTATTTGGGGAGAAGTAAGGGCACCAACCGAAAAGAGGAAAAATAGGGGGAAAAAGAAAACATAAAACATAAAACATAAAAAGAGGTGACCGGCTTACAAGATGACTCATTTATGGCTTCAGACGAAGATTAATATTGTATTCAGATTTTGATTAATGTAGATTTATGTGAAATTTGATTGATTTTGAAATGTGAAGATCCGTACACATGCTAGTTTTGAGGTAGGATAAAGGAAGGGAAACAAAGCAAGCCTTACCTTCACTAATGACGTTTCTTTTTGTTCGAGAAATGAAGCCAATAGAAAACAACCAGACCTGAGATGCAAGCGGACTAAGTTGACGGAGAAGAGGATGAAGCTGAGCGTGGATGGAGAAGACGGTGAATTATCACTTTCGGCTTCCATCCCCAAGTTGCAAAGGAGCAATAACTTGAGTTAATAATTTTTAAATTATTTTTTTATGCATGTTCAAAGGTGACGGTTATTTATGTTAGGTAAAATGGAAAAAAAACGCTGAAATAAAAAAATTATACACAGACCGATTTATAAAAATTATTGTCAAAACATATACTCCTCCGGTCCTTATTATAAGATCCCATTTGACTTTTTATTTGGTCCTAATTATAAGACCCCAATCCATTTTGTCTCTTATATTTATGTATTTTTTTTCCAAGATAATCTTTCTAATAATGATAGTTTTAGCCAATATACTTAATTAGTAAGGATATTTTAGGAATGACAACACTTATTTATTATAAATAACCAACTTAACTTACTTCTTTAATCTCCTCAAATAAGTCAATTGGGTCTTATAATTAGGACCGGAAGAGTACTACCATTGTTATTTTTCCTTTTATGTTAACATTTAACTAACTATATATGTCGGTAGAAAATTATAAAGCTTTTTCGATCTATCTTCTAATGCAACAAAATTCATTTCAAAACGTAATTTAGTTTGAAAGTTATAAATAATGAAAGATCGAGCAAAGGTAAGAAATATTTTTCTGTAATATTTCAAATTAAAGCACCATATTTCAAATATCTCTCTTTCATATGAAAACAGTTTTGATTGAAATGTCTTTGAAATTTAATGAGCATACATTTTCATATAAATTAAGTTGCACGTTAAAAGAATGCGCAGTTTGTGAGATATTGTAAAAATATTAAGAAAAAAAATCAAAGCTAGAACAGAGTATTCTTGCAGTGATAAAATAGATTTTACGATAGGAATCGATTTTGTACAATTTGTAGTAACAGCGAGAAAATCTATGAAATCAAGTATAAGGAAGCTCTAATCGACTTTGGAAGAACAAATAATGGGATAGTGCAAATAACCAAGAAATTCGATTTTGAGTCATTGAGGAAATTGATTTTAATACTCCTGACTAACCTTGTTCTTTAAAATTACAGGGAAATCGATTTGAAGAACAAAGTGAAATTGATTTTAAAGAGGTCATATACAAAGTTTATACCAAGGCATATTAAGAACTCGATTTTGGAGACATTTTAGAAAACAAATAAGACAAATTTAAATTTTGATTTGATGGAAGATCAACTATTAGAGTTGATCCCTCAACTATTGAAATTGGAAGGAGAATGTGTTTAGGTTTAGTTTCCTTTTAACTTAACTGTTAGTTGTCCTAACAATAACGTCACTTATCATGTTTGGATAAGGTCCCAAGTTTAAGTTCGGTATTGATATGTTTGTGTGCATGCATGTGTTGAATTGTACTAAATCAGTCTTGTAGACTCAAAATTGTAAAGTTTTTGACACATGGGTTTATCTTTGAATATGATGTTTATAGTCTTAGAATCATGTGATGTTTAATAATATTAAATATTTAGAATTTGAGCAGTGTCAAACTCTGAAGGTATAAAAGGAATTCTTCCATTCCACCTTCATAGTTCCAAACAAAACTTTCATTATTAAAATATTTAGGGAATTTATGAGGTAGTTGGTTTTTTTCCCTCATAATCCATTATTCCACACTTACATAGTTCCAATATGTTTGCACTTCAAGTTTGGTAAAAGCACCAAAAAAAAAAAAAAAAGGTGCTTATCTTAAAACATCTAACTTACCAACAAGCATTGAGTTATGACCATTTAGCAATAAGGTCTCGAATTAAATGCAAAAAATGCCATTGACACAGATATCCCAAAAAGGCATCTAATTAACTTTGTGAAAACAGGAAGAATGGGGAAGTAATATTATCCCTGAAGTTTCTATATCAGCTTATCATAAACACCTAGCAAAAATCGATATAATATTTTTTATATATATATATATATATAATGAACTGGAAATTTAACCATACTATTCATAAAGTCATGACCTGTACAGCTTTTACATCGGGCTCTGGGCAATCCATATAAGCCAGAGATATAGTTGGAAGAACAAGTTCAATGGATAAACAATAATATTATATTTTTTGTGATCATATTTGGAAGGCGAGACGTTGATGAATCCAAAGACACAAAGCTGTGGCAGCAAATGGCAAAGCAGGCATCATATGAACAATATTATTTCAACAGCTTTTACAATTTCTCTCAACAACATAATTAACCAGCGGAGATTCCCATATGTTCCCCATTTGTATTATTCTGCCTCTTTTCCAACTTTTAATAATCTTTTCCTCTCCTTGTTTTCTATGTACAATGTCTTGCCTTGCGTTGCCTCACGTACATTAACTGGAAGAATATTCATATCTATATATACACTTATATTTGTATATACATATATGTGTCCTTGCTTCTATCGTTCCATTCTCCTTTCCATTGTCTCCTTCAAGCTTGAGCTTCTTGTTCTTGAGGCTACAGAGAGGGAGAGGGAGAGAGAGGAAGAGAGAGTTTTGAGTCATTGAAGTTCATCAAATTAAATTCATTTTGATTTTTCACGAATTTAAGCTGCAGGTTGTGTTGTTGGTGGGAAAAGGATTTGGAAGAAGTGGCTCACTGAAAATTATAATCATAAGAGAAAAATGGAAGGAGAGAAATCCGTTGCACTTGATGCTATTATGAAGGAAGCTGTGGATCTGGTATGTGTTTTTTTCCCCAGATTTTCATTTTCCCCCACACACACGTGTGTGCGCGTGTTTGTGATATGTCTCTTAGAAGTATTTCAATTTGAAATCAAAATCACTTTACAGTTTCATGTTCACATTTTTCATAGCATGTTAGATGGTAGCTCAAAATTGGTTTGACCTAATCATCTTCCTTAATATCCTCTCTTCTTCTTCTATTTGATTATAGTCTAAGGAATATCATAGGATAATTTAAGAAAAAATGATAAATATGAGAAATAAGTTTTATATTTAGGATCAAAATCAACTAAATAATTATTTCTTATATTAAGGACCGAATGAGTATAATTTTTTCCCTACATCAAAACTGTTTACTTGTGATAATACATCTCACCCACCTCTCGAGGGGGAGTGCACACATATATATCAACCCACTCTTATGTGAGTTCGTCTTACATGGTTGGTTATACGGTATAAATTTCAGGAGAAAGGTGAGGAAGTAATTTACTATTTATTAAATTTATTATGGGTAATTAATATTGCAGGAGAATATTCCTGTTGAGGAAGTGTTTCAACATCTCAAATGCACAAAGGAAGGTTTGAGCTCTGAGGAAGCAAAGCAAAGGCTGGACATGTTTGGATATAATAAGCTGGAAGAAAAGAAAGTTAGTTAATTATATTTGGAATTTAATAAATGGATTTAACAATTTTTTTCTTGTCATATATATCCACATCATAATTAATTTCCGATAACATTTTGTTAATTTAATTCCATAATTTTGATTGCTGCTACAGGAAAGTAAAATACTGAAATTTTTGGGGTTCATGTGGAATCCTCTGTCCTGGGTGATGGAAGCTGCTGCTATTATGGCTATTGCTATGGCCCATGGAGGGGTAAATTTACTCTCTTCAATATTATCCCTTCTTTGTTTTAAATCTTTTCTTAATTTTTTCCCCTAAAAGTAATAAATGATTCAAGATGCAATAGTGTAAAGTTATGAAATTCAAGTAAATATAAGAATTACAGCTATTGGATATTATTCCTTCTCTCACTTAATTTCCCTTAAATTGCAAGTATAATAAGAAAGCAATTCTTTTGAGTAAAAATGTCATTTTGATTACATTTGGCCTCCATGGGGAAGAACAATTTTAAGTGACTTTACAACTGGATGCCGTGAGAGAAAAGTTAAGAATTACGTTTGTTTTTTTGAAGTGCCCTTATTATCAAAACCTTTTACTTTGTAATAGTTCATTCTCTCTTTTTTGATTTTATACAATTTAAACACATGCACACACAAATATGTCAATGTCAAACTTGAGCTTGAAATCTATCCGAACATAATAGGTAGCGTTGCCACTAGGACAACTTGCCATTGACATAGTAGTTCTTTTTTTTTGTACATCTCACAATGTGGCTTATTTCTGTAGGGCAAGCGTGGAGATTATCAGGATTTTGGTGGTATAATCATGTTGCTTCTCATAAATTCTACCATAAGCTTCATAGAAGAAAACAATGCTGGAAATGCTGCAGCTGCACTTATGGCTCGTTTGGCCCCAAAATCTAAGGTTTTTCTCTCTCTCCTCATTCATCAATCATCACTCAACAATTTATTCTGTCTGGTTGTTTAGTTAAGGACCCATTTGTTTAAGAGTTAAAAAAAAAAAAACAAGTAATTTTAGTTATGCAAAGCCATCATGTTTAGCTTAGGGTTCTCCCAACAACTCCCTCAAAACTTAAACTACTTTTTTAATCTTAATCAAACTGGCCCTAAATTATATTCAGTGGTGTTCATTTGACCTGAAATGACATATTTATAGGTACTGCGTGATGGAAACTGGAGTGAAGAAGACGCTTCAGTGTTGGTTCCTGGAGACATAATTAGCATCAAGCTCGGTGACGTCATTCCTGCAGATGCTCGTCTCCTTGAAGGAGATCCTTTAAAGATTGACCAAGTATACAAGAATTTGCTCCTCCTCAAGAAAAACCTTTTGAAAGTTTTCATGTTCTGGTCAATTGACGTTTTTTCGCTTGTTTGTTTCAGTCTGCTCTGACTGGAGAGTCACTTCCAGTGACAAAAAATCCTGGTGATGGAGTGTATTCTGGCTCAACTTGCAAGCAAGGAGAAATAGAAGCTTTAGTTATTGCCACTGGAGTCCACACTTTCTTTGGCAAAGCAGCTCACCTTGTGGAAAATACCACACATATAGGACACTTCCAGAAGGTTCTTATTCAAAAATTGAATGTTCTTTTTTATAATTCTGG